CATGCTTGAGTGGAGGTGCTAGCTGCTGCAATTCTTGGAAAAATTTCTTCATCAAGGGCCTGTTGAATGAGGAACAAAGCCTTTGCATCCTTCTTATGGGTTTCTTGCAACCGTTGATCGGGCTCGGACGGATTTGTGTCTTCAAATCCCTTCTCCACCAAGTCCCACAGCTCTTGAGACTTGAACACGGTCTTCATTTTGAGGCTCCAAAAATGATAATTTTCCTCTTTAAAGACTAGACTTAGGGGCAGAGTTGAGGAATTGGTTCCGTTGCTTGCCATGAAGGAATTTCTCTCTTCTTTACCCTTTGCCCAGATAAAGACCGAACCTGGCTCTGATACCAAAGAAATTGTTGGGAGATTGAAATTTTATGCTGAAAAAAAAAAACAAAGCCACATAACCAATTCTATTCATATTCAAAAAGCAACGTTTGGGGTCCAAATAAATAGGCTTACAGCAAAACTAACCTTAGCTAAAAATAAGCAATTAAACTAGAAAGTGGATAAACATGGTCCACTAACTCAAAAATAATGCCTAACAACTAGGAAGTAATTCACCCACTAAGTATTCAACATTCCCACTAAGTTTGAAGCACTACTCAACATTCCCACTAAGTTTGAAGCACTATTCCATGTTCCCACTAAGTTTGAATCACTATTCAACACTTTCTTAGTTCAGGAAGTGTGCAAATACAAATATGTACAGTGTCAATTTTGCACTGTACAATATATATTTGTATTTGCACTCTTTCCAAACCGAGCCTTAAAAATCATCGAAGGCAGTAATGCAGACTGTTGAGACATACATACTTTCTTTTGTCAATCTGCACAGGTCCATCAGTCTTTCAATAGAGAGATGAAGATCATGACTTCCAACATTCCCCTAAAGCTGATGAAGGCAAAAATCGACAAAAATTGAAAGAACAAATCCCTTATATCTACTTTTAACAAGTTAAAGAGAAGAATAATTAAAATGTCAAAGGAAGGCATTAATTTCAGTTGCTACCTCTAAAAGTGCATTTCCAAGATTTTCTTCTCACAATTCAGCCTACAATAAAATCAAACCAGAAACAAAAGTTTGAGTTGAAGAGGGGGAAAAATAATTAAATGAACTATAAATGATCATTACCTGATCCTCAACTATCAAATAGAAATCATCTATTGATATTGTTGCATATTTCCTAAGATTTAATTATAGCTCTCAGAAACTCCATATTTTTCATATAGTCTTCACTCTAAAAAGGAAAGTTTATATAAAATATTGCACTAGTTTGCAACCAACCTTCTAGTGCATCATAAAAGATAATCTAGAGTAGAAATAAGTGTAGTCTTCCCACTTCTTTGTGGAGCAGTGAAACCAATCTGTACCACAAACATAAATTATCTATATGAGCTGTTTATGCATTGGCATACTTATGGACAGTGATCAGGAAATATGGAAAACAATTTGTCCAAAAGGATATCTATACCACTAAAGGAGGGATATCTTCTGCATCCTTGAACATTATTGATCTGTGATGGAAAATTTGATCTTCACACCAGAAGAACACCAGTATATAAAAGTGATAAAATCTGGCTTTCTGAGGGATTGATAGGTTAAGTTCATTGAATTGAAATAATTTGTAGAGGTAAAGCCCACATTTTAACCACTTATGAAAAGTCTTTGCAATTATTTTTGGGGTCAGACCCAGTTTCTCTACAAGAGGACCTGAGCATGCAAACTCATAAAATTCCTGCACAGAGGAAACAACCGTTGGTGTTGCATGAGACATTGTATTGTTAAAATATTTTAGCTTACAGAGCAGATATTCCAAAGGTTTTGTTCTAGTCAGGTTTATGCCTTTACAATGACAAATATTTGTAGGAAATTTTGGTTCTTCTTCTTCTCGTAGGTCATCAGCTCCTCTATTATAAAAATTAATTAAAATAGGGCAGTCAAGAGTTAATATTGCTTTGTTTTTTCTTTCAAAGTAATATAGTTCAAACATGTCACAGAAAAAGTTTAGGCTTACTTGATCTGAAGTTGGCGAAGACAGCTGGAAGTTCTGCGCAGACAATTGATTGAGATCACAATTGAAGAACTTAATAACTTCCTTCTCTATCCCATCGCTTTCCTCTTCAGCTACAAGCTTCATCTTTTTTCCTTCTGAACTTCTATCATTTCGTGCACATCTTCAGTGTATTCTGTGGTTCTTTTCGCTAGGGTAGCAGCAACAATCTCTGAATTTCGCATTGAAGGGTTGTTTGGGTTTGGATTCGGGTTAGAAATATTTTCTAGGATCAGGATCTCTTGACCCGGATCCGAACCCATTTTTGTTATCCCCTCTTCCCAACAATCCTTTTCTTGCTCAATTTCTGCTGAAGCTTCAGATTCTGCTTCAGAAAAATACTTCACTTTGCATGTCTGTCCTATTATCAGAGATTTTGACTTCTCAAGACTGCTTTCCGAATCTAGTAAGACTTGCCTTGTGGGCTTTTCTTTTCCTTTTTCTTGTTCCATCGGTAGTATCTCAGCAATTGAACTACTTACACCATTACCCGGAAAGGAAAAAGCATGTCTACTATTGCCTCCCACCTTCCTTCTAGTCCATTTGCTTCCTGTAGGCACCGTGAAACTTCACCGGAAGAAACTTTCCAATGATAAGATTACCTTGAAATTTTGGTTGAAGGCTTTTGGGTTTGACTTGAAAGCACCTTCACATTCTTCTTCCCCAAAAAATCCGCATCTAATTGGAGTTTTGGAAACAACCAGTTCTATCCCCTTATGCGACTCCTGGTTATCTTGCTTGCTTCGAAAGGAAATTTCCTAAACCTGGGGATCATCTCTAACCTTGCCTTCATTGACCAGATCTTGTGGTCCATCTGTTGACTTCTTCTTTGGGTCTTCTCGATCCCTTCCTTCACTCGACCACCTGCATTCAGGAAACGGTCTTTTTGATCTCCAACATCAGCTTTAAGCCAAGGCCCATATCCTTCAAGAATTTTTGTTTGGTCTAATTTATACGCGCCTAATCTATCCGTCAGCTCCTCCAGTACCTTCTGGTTTGGCTTTTCTACCCTGCAATTTTTTTCAACATGACCTAGGAGGCCACATCTGAAACAGAACACAGGGAGGTGCTTATACTGGAAGGGGAACCATTATTCCCTGTCATCTGCAAGCAGTCCTTTGGAGCCTGTTGCTAAGGGTTTCCTTGTATCTACTTTCACCCTAACTCTTAACCCCTTATTCCATTCATCTTTGCTTCTCCTCAGCTTTCCTTCTTCTGGATTCACATCCAGAACCTCACCTGCTTCTTTGGCCAGGAGCTTTGTTGTTTCCTTTGTTTAATATGCCATTGGAACATTAGAATCCTCATCCACAGGCCGATGGAGTTGAAGCATACTTTCGAAACCAACATCTCATCGGATTGATTTTGAAGAAGTAAAGGATACTCTTTGGTTGTCCACGGTTCCTCTCAATTTTTTTTTCAAATCTTTTTCCCTAGAAAACGAATCCACATAATATCGTCACTCGCCCTCTCCATTTTCATTTCAGCCTTGTTCCACCGCCACATACTCCTGATTTGGTCAATAACTCCTGCAACATTCATGGGTTTATCAGCTAGCACCTTTGCGTACAGTCCATCCTTTTTTAGTGTCTTCTTGACTAAGACCTTTCACGTTTCCTCCTGAATCCTTGTCTCCCTTATCTCTTCAACCGCTTCCATGCTTGCCGCTGCAAGTCACTCCCACCGGATATTGTTCTCGAATCTCCTCCGCTCACACCAGCCCCGAGCTAACGTTCCCTCTCAAAGCCAATCGTTCCCTCGCAGAACCCGTCACTGCCTCGCACAGTTCTCGTGCATTCAAGGTCCCAACACAATTTGTTTGTGCACCTTCTTTCTTAGGTCTTAGCTGAGTTGAGCTTTATCAAAATGACCCTTTCTTTATGTCTTCAAATAGAGCAACCAATCTATAACTTGTGTAAACAAGCAAAGCAGAGTAAATTAAGAGGCCCTTTTGGTAACTATCCTAGTCTATTATGGTCCATGGATACGTCAAATGAATGATTTAGGTGCAAATAGATAGATGAAGCTTAAGTGGACTGCAATCCACCTCAAAAATCTGAATTACAGCCCCCTCCTAGTCTACTAGTAGCCCCCATATATAGACCGCATCCTGCCCATGAATGTGGCATCAATCCACAGGCACGATTCAGTCCACCCCTAGAAATCCTAGCTCCACCCTAGGGGTGGACTGAATTATAAAAACCCCTACATTTTTTGTCATTTTAAATTTCCATAAGCCTTTTAGGGCATAAGTCTATTTTAGTTTCTTGTCTTTTATTGTTAAATAAAGAAAGACCAACTTTGATATTTCAAACTTTGAAGAACACTAAAAGATTTACCAAACGCCCCCTAAACATGGAAATACGCAGTTGAATCCTCAAGAATGGAGGTTGCTGATCACTAGGCCAAGCATGATATTAATTTGAACCTCAACCTAGCTGTGGCATATTGTGGCATTTGTGCTGTTAAATTCCAACCTACGATGGTGTAGGTGGTAGGGAGAGATGGAGAGAGAGATAAGGCACGTTATTTGGAACAATAGAGTTTTAGAAGAGAAAATCACAGATATGGTCAACGTCCTTATTTAATTAATTATTAGACATGTTGAGTTGGTAGGACGAACCGTTGACAGCTAACTATTCTAAATTTGAAATATTTTAACAGCTTCTTCCTTGTTTGAGTTGTTTCTTCGATTCGTCCAAATTAACCGTTGATTAGTAGTAGTGAAATATCTATTTTTTTTTTTTCATTTTCTCTATCTATCTATCAATCTCTAATTTTCATTCTATTCGTTGTTGTATGTTGAATTCATCTCCTCCGTCCTCCGTTGGGGATCGAAGGAGGTGGAGACCAAATGAGTCCCCTGTATCCGTATTTGTTGTTGTTAGTATTCCTCAATGTCAATGGCTTCCTCTGGGTACCGTCAGTTTGCCAGGAGTCAATACGGTTGAACATGATTCACAGGCATCATCCCAAGTTCGAAAAGAAGACGGGCGTGAAGGCGCCGGAATCTCCGATGGAACGATTACAACAACTTATTCGACTGGATGAGAAACGCATAGAGATGGTTTTTCGTATGAGAGAGCATCGGAGGAAGGTTGCAGAGGCGGTGGTGAACATGACGACGACTGAGAAGCAGCAGAAGCGGCAGGTCCTCTCCCTCCCCTCATCGGTACAACTGCAGTTGTACTCTGGAAGCTATTCTTATACAAATTCCTACGTGACTACATTTCGAGTAGGGACTCCACCTCAGAGGCTGTTGCTGATTACAGACACAGGGAGCGCCCTCACTTGGGCTAACTGCATCCATAACTGTTCTGATTGTAGCAGAAAACACCGTCGTCGTCGGATCTTCGACGCCGATAAGTCGACTTCCATAAGATCAATCCCGTGCTCCTCAGAAATGTGCCAGGTGGGTCTGCAAGAATTCAATGCCTACTACGATTACTGTCCAAAGCGCAAAAGCCCATGTTGGTATGACATGAGGTACGTACACGGTACACCTACAATAATATTAAGGTTAAGGCCACCAAATTACCATTTAAAGGGTCTGTTTGGTTCTCTGGAGCAACAGGAATTAAGAATAGCTGTTTCCTGTTTGGGATCGAAATCAGAACCATCCATTTTCCAACTCCAACCATGTATTTGGTTGGAATGACATTTTGATTCTCATTTTTTTTTTTGGAATGGAATTTTCCCACATGGGGAAGCGACCATTCTAGGCCCTCCTTGGAAATGGGATTCCTATTCTACAGTCTCTCTAAGGCTATATTTGGTTTGAAGGAAACTGCAGGGATTGAAAGGAAAAGGTAGGGAAACCTTTATAAACCTTGTATAGGTTTTCCTGTCTTTCCCTTCCTTTTCCTACCTTTTCCTTCAAACCAAACATAACCTAAAAGTAAAGAATTCCTTACCAAAAAAACCCCAATTTTAATAAAATATTATTCAAGTAAAATAAAATAATACTAATAAACAATTAATAAAATAATAAATTATTAATAAACTTATAATAAAATATTCATAAAATAATAACTATATATTCATAAAATGTTAATAAATTAATAATAAAGTACTAAGATATTGATTATTAAATAGTAATAAAATATTAATAAACTAATACAAAATTGAAAATTTTTGGTTGATTCTGATTTCGACTCCAAATGAACCAAACAATAATGTCTAAGAATCCAATTCATATTCTAGTCTAAACCAAACAGCATTGGGAATAGGCAATTCCAATTTTAATTCTAGGGAATTCCAATTCCAATCTTAACCCAAAACCAAATGAGCCCTTGATATACCCCGTGTTTTCACTAAGGCCCCGTTCGCATTTCGATAAGTTACTTACCCGGGGGTAAATGCACTTACCCAGGTAATTGTTTCCTAGGAAAGATTTACTCGGGTAACTGTATTTACCCATGTTCTTTTATTTCCCATGTAAATAAGGCAATGACCATTTTATTCATAAAAATCCATTATTACAAGGGGCATTTTTGTCCCTTTCAAGTGTTGACAAATTTCTTCCAAGGTGGGAAAGTTATTTACCCACCTAGGAGACGGGTATCACTTACCCGATACCCAGGAAAATAAACTTTCCCTGATCCCCACATAAATATGAAAATAGAACATGGGATTTTTTATCAATGGAAATCAAAACCCCATTGACCAACTTTTCCCCCTCTCAAAATCCAGAAAAAGAACACCCCCTACACTATTTAAATATACCCTATGGTTTTCATTAGTGAAACTTTTAAGACCATTTACATGTGATATCAAGTGCATCATACATTTTATCATAATTCCAAATTTGCCGCATCATTACAATCCATGATAACCTATCAATGGTAATACAAAATGTTGTAACCAAAGTGATGGCTCTAGTTACAATGGCTAGGCTATGATTTCTTCCGATTCCAAACTTTCATCTCTCTCTCTCTCTCTCTTTCAACTGATCATTGTCTTCTCCACCGAACACTAAACAAAAGAAACAACGATCCAACAACATGTCCAACCTTACCATTGATGAAAGCCATTACCGAAGCAGATGGAGCACGCCATTGAATCTATTCCAATCACCCCTATTCAAATTTCACTGCAAGCTAGAAACTCCATTCTCTCCACTTGAGCACATCAGTGAATAGATCTTCTAAACACCTTACCAAAGTGGTGATCACCATCTCTCTCTCTCTCTCTCTCACTTCTCCTTTCTCTCTATCATCCCATCCTCTCCAATAGGAGTGGCTACAAGCCAAGCTTTTTATGAGCTATTCGAGGTCAACTTGTGAAAAGTTTGACTCAGTTCGATTTAAACCGAGCTTCGAGCCAAACTCAAGCCCAATATATAGGCTAGTTTGCTAATTGAGCCGAGCTCGAGCCCAATAAAGTTTGGTTCATCAGGCTTTCGGGCTTAATCGAGCTTTTATACATACATACATACATACATACATACATACATACATACATACATACATACATACATACATACATACATACATACATACATATATGTGTATATATATGCATACATATATATTTAATAGTATTACATTCTTAATTAAATTATATGAATACCATAATAAAAATCTCACNATATATATATATATATATATATATATATATATATATATATATATATATATATATATATATAAACACATACACATAGGCACATGCATTGCATGTATGAAATTTTTTCATATTAATTACTTGAATTTTAGATATATCATGGTTAAGATATAAATTGAAAACTAATAAAAGTAATAATATGACTAAAAATAAACTTAAATACTTGTACTAAATGTGCACGTGTAGAAATTTTAAATTACAGTTATTACTATTATTATTAGGGAAAATTCCCAATAGGTACCCTGTACTTTAGGCCGAGTGCCAATTTAGTACATGAACTTTAAAACGCGACAATATAATACTCGAACTTTCATTTTGCAACAATCTACTACCCGGCGTTAACCAACCATTAAGTGGCATGCAAAAAGACAAATGTTACGACAATGTTCAAATCTGTCGCCGCTCTACTTCTTTGTGAAGAAGATGAATAGTATTTGAGCTGCATTTGTGCTGACGTGGACAACTTTTGAGAATGAACATTAATGGTCCTGAATTAGTGAGCTTTGGAGACATGGCTTAAGAAGAAGAAGAAGAAGAGAAGAGGAGAGAAGGGACTGAGAGGGGTGCCATCGCCGTTGCAACTATGTTCGAACAAAGGGGAAGAGGAATACTGGAAGAGAAAAGATTCTGACAGTTGCAGTTGCATGTTTCGGTGGCGGTGAGGAGATTGGGTGAAGGTGGAGGACAGAGGTATAAAGAATTTGCAGCGGAGATATAGGTGATCGTACGTGTTAAGCTCCCCAATATTGTAAGGTTAAGGGCCTATTACTAGACTGTTGATGAAAAGCTTCTTCGGTGACGATGTTGGGGTGGCACCAAACATGGTCGAAGCCATTGTTACAAGCATTCTTCGATGCAGCGAAGAACATCTGGTTGGTGGTGGATGGAGGCTTCACCTCCATCAAGAGATTTGGGTTCCCGGAACCTAATCTTCATTTTCTTGAGAAAAAAAGTTGATGAACAGTGTGTTTGGGCTCCATTTCATTTTCTTGAGAAAGAAGATGATGAACAGTGTCCAAGAGTAGTTTTGACATTTTTAAAAGTCTTGAATCACACATAAGGTCACATGATATACATAACTGACGGTTTATTAGTGGTAGGTACTAGATTGTCCCAAAATGAAAGTTTGGGTACTAGATTGCCGCGTTTTAAAGTTCGGGTACTTAATTGGCACTCGGCCTAAAGTACAAGGTACCTATCGGGAATTTTCCCTTACTACTACTACTATCGCGTTTTAATGCTCCGAAATGTCTTTGACAAAACTTTGTACTTTTTATATTATTTGTGTTTATCTTTTTTTAAATATTTATTATTCAATTATAACATCATGCATTATTTTGAAAAGTTAGATCATTGGCCCACCATTTAGATAAAAAAATAACTTTGCTTTAGGATTAGTTTTAAATTCTATATTTCATCTACATTATATAAATATTTTTTACTTATCACACTTAAATTTTGTTTGACATAATTAATACATAATTTTTATATATTCTTTTGATTACTTGTACTTTTTTATTATTTTTAAATATTTATTATTTAACTATCATATCATCGATTAATCCATTTGACCTAAACCACTAAACCACGACCCAAAAAAAGTTTGATTTCTAGGTTGGCATTAAATTTTGTATTACATTTCTATTGTTGATAAAATTATATCTTATGTGTTATATTTATTTTTGTTCAATATAATGAATGTATAATATTACAGATGTACCCAATATTTTAATTTTTATAAATATATAACATTATATCTTATGTGTAACATTTATTTTTGTGATTCGTTGTATTTTCTATTTTTAAAAATTTTATTATTTGACTATGACATCATTTCGTTTCTATGTTAATTTTAATTTTGGCATTCCATTTTCATCATTTATAAAAATAATTCTTATATTTCATACTTATTTTTGTTTAGTATAATGAATATACAATATTAGTGACATGCCCAATTATTTTTTTGTATTATATATTTTATTTATTTTATTTTTATTATATAATTATGGCATTATTTATTAACGCATTTAACCCCAAATGGTTGAATTACTTACCCATCATCGAGAGGGAACAAAATGATTTTGTTTTCAAAATATTTATTTTTATATTATTAAAATTAATGTTGTGGATTTAATTAGTATAATTTAATGATGAGAAAAATATATCTTAAATATATGATTTAATAAGAGAATATACCTTAGATATGAGATTTAATGAGAGATAATTGGAAAATAGTTTTACTTCTAATTGGTTTTAAAGTTTACATTTCATTTTCATCATTAATAAAAAAAAAATATCTTATTTATCATCAATGTTTTCAACCTATAGTTGAACTAGGCGATTGAATTGTTCGAACCGTCACTCGCCTTAATCCTAGGTTTGGTTTTGTTGACTCTCCCCCTTTTAGTTAAAAACCGTTTAACCCGAGCAATTGAACCATTGCCCTGTTCGACCTAGTAACTAGATTGCAGGTTGTGCACTTAATTATATGCAAACTTTTGGAAGCCATAACTTTGCACTCCGATGTCTGATTGGGGTTATCTTTTTTTTTTGAGTAACCTTTTTAAGATCTACATGTCCCAAGGGCCTTAGGTGTCTTGCCTTGCTATTTTCGTGAAAAAAACCCTTTTAGCCCCAAATTGCAATTTTTAATATTTTTTATAAATAAAAAAATTAAAATATGATTTAAAAACATAAACAAATGTAACATAATACATGTACTATATGTAATATATGTAAAACATAATTATAAAATATATGTAAAACAAAACTATAATATATATAAAGCATAGTTAAACTATTTATTGATAAAATATGTATTTTTACACATATGCACACAAACACACATATATAGTGTTGGCACATAGTGGTTTGACACGATTGACCTTGATAGTCGGATCGGTGATTTGTGACCCGAAGGCAAAAGCGGGTCAGCCCCTGGATCAGTTTTTAAAACATTGTTTATCTACTTATTATTGTTTAATATGTCAAATAAATGATGTTAAAATTGTTCCCATTTTTTAATTTCCATATTTTTGCATTTTATATATTTTTGAACTTTATTATTTCTTTGTGGCAACACGGATTAACCCATTTGACCCAAATTGTTTAATTTCTTACCACCACCTAGATGAAAAAAATATTTTTTTTCTAAGTAGATATTAAAGTATAAGTTTTTATGTTATTAAAATTATTAATATATTATGTATGGATTTAATTATAGAATTTAATGATGAGAAAAAACAAAAAAAAAACTTAAATATATGGTTAAATGATGGTGAATGCAAATCAATACCTTAAATGTTGTATTTAATGAGAGAGAGAATTGAATGCATTGAATATCTTGAAATTACCTATTTACAACTAATTTAATATCAATAACCAACTACCCTATTTGCCCTCATTTTTATTAATAAATTTAAATATAGAGGGGTAAATTTTATCTTCAGAAAATCTAGAAATATTCATACTTTTTAAAGTAATATAGATATAATATATTTATAAAAATTATATTTTTTTTATTTTTTATTTTTACAAATATAATAAAAATAATTTTTTATTTTTATAAAATGTTTGATTCACAATTGAGTTTGAGTGGAGTTGAACTCGAACTTATGAACTCTTGATTCGAGTCGAATTCGACTTCAAGTCTCCAGTTCAAATCGAACTTGAACCTCATAATTTAGTGGTCAGCTGAACTTGAATAACCAAATATTCGTCTCGGATCAAACCCAGCCCTACTTTCCAATTTTCATCACTGAATAAAAGGTCACACCCTCCACTACCATTTGAATTGAACCAGTTATCAGCCCGACTACGGCCATTCTCTCCCCCCTCCGCTTTCCTTTTTTCCCCACTCTTCAGTTTTCATTTTGTCCTTCCCTCCTTGATCAAACCAGAGTCTAGTACTCTTGAATACCTTGTCCCATATCCATCACCATTACCCTCGTTGATTGCCAGAAATCCTAGTTGCAGATTCAAATCGAGTAAACCCACCAATTGTATTGTTCTTGTAATTAATCGTTCAAACTCACCTAAGACATAAATCGCAATCCAGCAAATCGAGTAAATCGAAGTCTTTAGATATAGTTGGCCGGAGTCTATATATTCATCGTTGCACCATTGGGCAAGCACTAAATCACAAAGGCAACCATGCATCTTCCCATTAATTATCAGAGAATATATATATATATAAGTAATTAATAACTCTAATAAATAGTAAATATATGTAATCTGTAGCTAGGGAATTGAAAGCAAGCTAGATTACGTACATAAAAATAAAATGTTGTTTGATGAAATCTATAATTAATGTGTAGTTACTCAGGTGGTACAACAGTGATAGGGTTCTTCGCGAATGAAACAGTAACAGTAAAGCGCAGAAACAAAGGGCACACGAGAATCCACCAAGTGTTGATCGGATGCACGGATCCCACTGGAAACACCGATTTCTCAGAGGCAGATGGCATAATAGGGTTAGGATACAGCCCTTACTCCTTCGCCTACAGGGCAGCCATGCAATTGGGTGGCAAATTCTCATACTCCTTGATGGATGTATTGAGCAGCAGGAATGTGTCCAATTATATCGTGTTTGGAGAAGACAACAAGAAGATGCAAATGCAATACACGGAGCTGGTGCTGGGCAAAGTGGGTACCCATTACGCCCTGAACGTGCGTGGCATCTCCGTCGGTGGTGTTATGCTAGATATTCCACCGTATGTATGGGATGTAGAGATGGGATATGGAGCCATTCTTGACTCCGGCACCAGCGCCTTCGCACTGCCGGAAATGGCTTACCGCCCCATTGTCGATGCTCTCAAGGCAGCCCTCGAGGGCTACCCGCCGGTGACCGTCACAGGTCTGGAGTACTGTGTCATTGTGGATAACACTACTACATTTGATGAGTCTAGGGTGCCCAAGTTAGTCATCCATTTCGCCGATGGGGCCACCTTTGAACCCCCCGTCAAGAACTATGTCATTAACCCCGGTGAGGGCGGTAGGTGTCTTGGCTTCATGCCCACACCCTGGCCTGCCGACTCCCTCATCGGCAGCTTCATGCAACAGGGTTACCTCTGGGAATTTGATCTCATAAATGGCAAGCTCGGCTATGCACTAGCTGATTGCACCTAGCACCAGCAGCTACCATGTATACGTACGTACCCAATATAATTATTCCTTCCTTCCTTCCTTTTTATATATATATATATATATATATAATTAATTATACATATATATATATATATATATATAATCAATTAATTAAAAGAATTTAAAAATGAAGTAAAATAAAAGCCCAAAGCAATAATCTTATGAACCAGAAGTTACACTTTGATTCGTATTTATATACATTTGTATTATTGCACTGCAAACAAATGGAGCGTAATAATGTGTAAAAATAATATAGAGTTAAAAGAATTCGATCAGAGGTATGGACTATGGAATGGTAAGTAATGATGAATATCTTAATGGCCATAAGAATCTCTCGGGCCAAGGTGTCCCGACTAAGGGTATCGATGGCGATCAGTCCAAAACCACTTTGGACGGATTGGACTAACCCAGTTCAAAATATTTATTAGATTAGACTGAATCTGATCCGTCTGTAATAAATTTATATTGGATTGGGTTGGATTAAGTCAATATCTAATTCATTGGTATGAGATAAGAATATAGGTGTCAATGGATTGGGTTTGAATTGAAACCAATCTAAATTAAAACGAATTTGAATAGATCGAACGGTCCAGGCATTGAATTGAACTGGTCCAAACATTCATTGGATTGAATTGAACCTGGTTCATTTGTAATGGACTCACATTGGACTGGATCGGATTGGACCAAATCCAGTCCAATTGACACCCCTAAACCCGACCATGTGGTTCCTTACATTTAGTGGACTTGGGCCTGAGCCTGGGAGATGGCGGGTTCATCAGCTTTTGAGTTTTGATAACTGGAAGAGGACGCAGGCAGCAGTGGTATTTAGTAGACTGACCAGTGGAGATCAGAGAAACACACATAATTTCACAGTTGTGGCCCAAACATTTGCACAGGACTCCTATTAATTGAATCGTTTCTCACAAGCCAAGAACAACCTAGTTGGACCGACCTCTAGCTGTATATATCCATGCATGGCCCAGGTCCTGTAGGAGGCCAAATCCAAAGTCCAAAGTCCAAACTGGTTTTATTAAAAACAGCAGCCCTGTCAGTTTATCTGGGCATCACGCAAGTCCCAACCATCCAATTACGAATCCAAGGCCCATCGATCTACTTGGTATGGGCAAAGCCCAATCAGACCAAGGGGCATGTCTGTCCTTCAATAAAACCAAACAACTGTGAATCAGAGGATTTGGGAAATTGGCGCTTGTTTGCATTGAGTTTTAAATAATTAACCACAACAGGATTTTAGCATAGACATGTGAAAATCGTCTGTTAATGCCTTTGTTTGTATAAAAATATCAACACAAGTTTAGGTAGATTTCAGATATTCATAGGAGAGGTGATTGTAGAAACATTAGGATTGTGTTTGGACAAGTTTTTGTTTTCATGTTTTCCAGAGTACGAAAACATGTCAGCATGTTTCTATATTTTTACTATGTGCTTTTGTATTTTGGTAAACATTATTTTTAAAATTAAAAGCATAAATAAGTGTTGATTTACCACCTGTAATATAATAAATTCCCTGTATAAATTTGTTGTTCATTGAAATTTATAATATAAAAATGTATCCATAATTGTGCCATGTAGTACAAATTAATAACACATAGCATATATTTTGCCATGTGTCATAAACTGACACATGGTGTATATTTTGTCATGTGTCAACTTTTGCCTTATACCCATATATATTACCACGTGTATTTGCCTCATGTCACAAATGTTTTCACATGACATATAATTGGCCATATGTCACAAATTTTGCCATGTGACATATAATTTGTCACATTGCATATATTTTATTATATTCATAATTTTGTCATGTAGCATATATTTTACAATGTATGTTTGGTAACAATTGTGGCATATATTTTGTCATGTATGTGCCTTATTGTTTTTACATCACACATGGTAAGGTCACATAGATTGTGTTTTCTGAAAAGTATATTTGGCGCGAAGTACATAATCAAAGCACAAAGTTGTCAATAATTTTGTGCTTTTTGTTGCAAATTTGTTTTTTACTTTCAAGAAAGCACATTTGACCAGATTTCAAATTTATTCTCTCTCCAGGGGTGGAGTTAAGGGGGCCAAAAACTAAAATGGATAGGGGGGTGGGGGGAGTGGGAGTGGGGAATAAATATGGATGGGCCCTAGTCAAGGTTTAAAGTATCGACACATTTGGCCTGTATTGGCTGATATGTATCGTGCCAATGGCTTCTCGATACACCCCTTCAGGGATTGTATCGGATTAGACTATAATTTAGAGGGTAGCCGGGTCTTAAAGTGACCCCTCTGAATTAGTTTTGAAAGAAAATAAATAAAACTTAAAAAAATACCAATACAGGCCGATATGCCCTCGATACTTTGAACCTTGGCCATAACTATTGAGGTGATGAATGGGGGAAGGGAAAAAATTACATGAAAGACTATTAAAAGTGGATATTTCTGAACCATAGGGGGGACATATGGCTCTCCTGGGTCCCCCTGGCTCCACCCCCTCTCTCTCCCCCTGTTGAAACACAAAAGTACTTCCAAAAAGCTCACCCAAATGAAACCTAAATTGATGAGGCTTCCTTTTCCTTGGCTCTCTTTTTCTCTTGTTTTTTGTGAAAAAACACATCCTTAGGAGGAATTGCTTTCTCTCCTTACCTCTCTCTAAATATGTAAATAAATACTCCCTTATATAACACACTAGCATCTCCTAATAGCAGCCAATATCATATGGGTCATTTCTAGTCTCTCAATAAAATGCAAACTGGCTTAGAAATGAAACAGCTTTTCGGTCTTGGTGGTACGTTAGCGGTTCAACCATATGAATCAAATAGATGAATATATATGATATTATAAATTGAATAATAAAAAATATAAAACAAATAAGCATTATATTCATCATATTAAATGAAAATAATTACAACAGTTAAAAATTATTTTTATTAATGTTTGTAATGGCTAAACACCCCCCCCCCAAAAAAAAAAAAGAATAAATGAGTAACCTAGCCATGATCCATTGACTGGATCAATTGGTTCAAGAAGATGTTGACCAAACCAATAGTTTTTTTATATAGGTGAACAGTTAATAGACCTGAAAATATAACTGGGTAATTGGATTAGCCTAATTCAACTGTGAATTTTGTTCTTTTTTACCCAATTCAACTATGAATTGAAAACACTGATAAAACAAAACTATCTTATTACGGCTTACCAGCAAAAGGGCTGTCCTCTTCATCCTCTTTGAACAATTTATTGTGAGTGCTTTAAAACAACTGAATCAGCTTACTTAAATCTTCATCTCAGCCCTTCCAAATGGACCCTTAACCACCATAATTTTTCAAAGATCGATGCTACTGCCTTAGCACAAACCAAACATGACGTTTGAGAACATTTTTGTTTATTAGCTGAAGCTTCAATAATTAATTAATCCATTCTCCTTCATCAGAAAAGAACTGGTCAATCTCCCTATTTTTGTTGTAGTGAGGTTTTCAACAAATCAATTAACCCCATTTGTTCAAACTTCAAACAATGGCTAGCTGTTCTCAAAAATCAAAGTAGGGAAGAATATCTCAAAATCATGACCGAAACGGTGATTATTCAAATATTAGTTATATTAAATCTTGCCCATCACTCCATTTCCTGCATTGAAAACAATTGTTTCTTGACAGCTGCTTCATCACAGCTTCAAACCTCTACAATTCAACTCAACTATTCTCTAAAGTTAATAAAAGAAATATAAGACAGATCATATTCCCATTTCTCCTGCCTGCACCAGCTGCAGGTTTGTTTTGTTACACTTTTTGAGTCTTTGCTCTCTCTCTAGCTAATAAAACCAAACATAACATAATTAGTTTATATCAAGAAACATTAGCAAAATTAATAAAGATCGTATCCCCAAGATGATGCTAGTAAATCCATCGTTGGATTGGATTTTGTGCCCACTATGTTCCCATCTCTTTCCCGAAAATCATAGAATGCGTTCATCCATTGGCCCTACAGACTATACATGACTCACCTACATTATTCAATATTCACCAAATCAATAATTAAAGCAAAAGTTAAATAAATTTTGTGTACATATTTGCCCATCTTCCCTTGGTCACATTAATCAAAATAAAGGGGTCTCGATTTCCTTCTAGATTGGGTCCTAGGAATATATAAAAAAAAAGAGCCTGTGCATGTTCTATTAAAAACCCAATATTTTAAACATGCTGACTTGTTAAATTAAATAAACCTAGAGTAAAATAAGCCCATTGAAGATTAGAAAATAATATTTTTTTTGGGTTGTTGATTAATCCAAACGCACTATCTGCAGTTTGTTCTTTTTTTTTTCTTTTAAATAAATTAACATGAAAGAATGAAAGAATAATGTGGTTTCAGCAAGATTTATAAGGCGTTTTGATCTTTCTTTTAATTAAATAATAAGTAGCTAGTGGGGATAAGCCCTTTTTATATTAAGTCATGTACAAATATCCTCTATGTATCCTGATTCCAGTCCCATTACCGGATGAGATTAATTGCTTTGACTTGTGACATACTGGACCTTCCATCTTTGTCATTCTCAGTAGTCTAATTAACCCCAAAAACCATAATTAAGAGAGTTTGGCAGATTACCCTAAAGCCCTTTTAACCAATTAATTAGATTTCCAATATCTGACCATCCACAGCCACAAGAGGTGAACAGAAAAAAAAAATGCAATGTAGCAGGGAATAAAGATTATCTGTTAAATAAACAATCTTAGGGTCTGCTTGGTTTGCATCCAGATTGGAATCGGAATCAAAATTGAAAACTTTCGGAAATCGAAATCTCATAGTCTGTTTGGTTCAGATAAGAATGAAAATGGAAATTGGAATCAGCAGGAAGGAAATTTCAATTTTCAAGGGAGGGGTAGGGAATGACTATTCCCTCAAATGGGGGAATGCCATTCTAATACGAATGTAAATGAGATTCTAATTTTATTTAACCAAACAGTTAGAATCGGAATAATCCACTCCGATTCTGTTTCCAGACCCTTATTCCTGTAAACCAAACGGGGCCTTAAATATGTAAAAATTTGAAAAAGCTGAGCATATATATATACAGAGAGAGAGAGAGATGGGAAGAGACACAAAGGTCATTGCCCCTTAAATATACAAATATATATAGACTATGCAACCAATTCCCACTAGCTGGCCTGATAGAGCTAAGTCAAACATCTAGCACCTTGTAGATGAGAATGCTCCTCATGCGCATGTTAGTGAAGGAACCCATGATTTATAAATTACATAAAATGATAAAATTTTCTATGTTAATTAATTAACTGATAAATTATTAAGAGGATTTAAATTGAATTTAACCCTATGCCCCCAGTATCACGTATTTAGGCTCGACTCGGAACTCGGAAGTGGGTAAGGAGAGAGCTTTTCTAGACTCGACTCGGAAGACTATCGAGTCAAGTTTACTCGCGAGTGATTCACCAGGTAATAGATCATATATCCACCATATTCATAAAGACAGTCAATTATATTGGATGTATTTACTAAGGGCCCGTTTGGTGTGTCTTTTTTGGAAGATCTTTTTGTAGCTATGATAGTTAAAAGACGCATTGAGCTTTTGCATGAAGATCTGAACAGCCCGAAGCATGCTTGGCAAATGTGCATCTTTCCGTGTGTCTTTTTACGTCTTTCCATGCAAGAATAAAATACAAAAGACGCGGAAAGCTTCATTTGGAGCTTCCTGAAATCACCCCAAAATAGGTTTTTCGTGTCTTTTCATTGTTCCGTCTTTTGGCAGCTAGATCTTCTATGCACCAAACGGAAATAGACCAAAAATCGGTTTTCTCAACTTGTAAACAACCGAAAGACCATGCAGAAAGACGTGCCAAATGCAGCCTAAGTGTTCAACTGATATGAAAGACCATATTTATAAAGACATCAATAATACTGAACATATTTATGTGTTCGACTATGATATGTAGAAACTAAGAATCAATGAACCAGTATCATAAAATGGATGACCAATAAGTAAGGGTGTCAATGGACCGGTTTTGGATTGGACATCCAGTCCAAAATCGATTTGGACAGATTGGACAAACCAACAAGATATATTGGATTGGACCAATCCAGTGTGAAATATTTATTAGATTGAACTGGACCTGGTCCGTCCATAATAAATTTATATTGGATTCAGTTGGATTAAGCCAATATCCGGTCCATTGATATAAGATAAGAATATAAGTATCAATGGACCAGGTTTGAGTTGAAACCGATCTAAATTAAAACAAATTTAAATAGATTGGACGGTCCAAACATTAAACTTGATCGGTCCAAAATATTTATTGGATTGAATTGGACCTGATTCATTTGTAATGAACTCACATTGGACTGGACCAAATTGGACCAAATCCAGTCCAATTGACACCCCTACCAATAAGGTGGTATCCATTTCCTATATCAAGATTTTTTAATTTAAACACATTAATCGTGTTGGTTTTTTGTGAATTCAGGTTATAAATGTTATTTAGTATAAAATTAGATGGGTTATTAAGCACATGTTGTCATGTTGTGTCGTATCAACCCAAAGTTATCTATTTAACTAAACAGATTATGCAGGTCTAATCAGGTCAGAATCATATTATCAGTATAACAAATGTGTCCAATTACCCTTACCTCAATTCGACATGAACACAACAAGAGAACATTAATTGTCATTATTCAACCTAAAAACTTAAAGTGAGGTCCTTGAATAGGTCGATATTCTTTAACAGAATCGGCCTAGAAAAATATATCAAAGTAGCCTGAAAAAAATAAAAAGAAATGACATTTTTGCTTACTTTTCTAATTTTTTTTGCTAAAATTATAACTATACAAGTCTTCTTTATTTTTCTATATTTAATATAAATGAAAAAACTATGATACTAGAAAGGCAACAAGGTACCAAATGAGCTTTGACCAATCAAAGCAACCCCTCTAAATTTTGATGAACACCATCTGATTGGTCATCTATTTTATGATACCAATTGACTAACTCTAAAATTTTCCAGTATCATATGTAATTCAACCCTTAAATTAAATCATAAATAGATTTCAATGATATAATAAGCATTCAATTTCAAAATTGACACATTTTATTAATCGTGTTAAACAAGTTGACACCATTAATGAAAAGGAAAACCTGCTGACTTGATACTATGTGTCAGGCCAAATATTACCATTCTTAATTCCAAAGCAATAATTTAAAAAAAAAAAGAATATATATAGACATATCAACAGTTCAACAATTGTATGGATCATTGTTGACCAAATCAGCAATTTTTTGTATTGTTATAGTTGATTGAAGGAGCCATTTTTTTTTCCCCAAAAGATGGCTGTAATTAGGTAAAAATGAGAATAATGAATGGCTCCCGTGTTTTTGTGGTGACGGTGATGATATTAATATTAAGGCGCGTATTTCTGTTGGTTGTCGAGCAAACCCCATCTTCTCAACTGTAAGAAGGTCCACAATCTGTGGAACTCATCAAACGCCTTATTCGTAGGCATTGTCTTAATCAGTTTACACCATAAGAAAGCAAAACCTAATTGGTTTTCTTCTTCTTTTCTTCACATAACAAGCCATCGCGCAGTGGAAGGAGGGTGGCCGGAGTAGACCAAAAAATGTCCCTCCTGCATGTATTCTTGCTGATTTCCATCAATGGCGGCTTGCAACAGGTAGCGGCCTCCGGAGCAGACTCAATGCAGATGAGAATGATTCACAGGCATTCACCAGAGATAGCTGACAGATTAGGCCATAAACAGCCGAAAACCCGGATGGAACAAACTAGGGAACTGGTTAACGTGGATAGAGAACATAACAAAGTAATCTCCAGAGTACTAAGCCAACGGAGGATGGCTAGAGAGGTTTCTATACATCATCATCGTCATCGTCATCGTCATCATCATCATCATCATCATCATTATTCGAAGGTGCACGACCTCGAAGAAAATGAGAATGACGAAGAAATCGACTTCAACAGCAGTTCAATAGAAACTGAGATATTCTCTGGGTCGTATATCAAGGTGGGATCATATTTTATTCCACTGAAGATGGGGACTCCATCGCAGAGGCTGCTGCTTGTTGCAAACACCGCCAACGACCTGACTTGGGTTAAGTGCCTTCGGCCTTGTCCCGACTGTGAGGGTTACGATGATGATCACAATAATAAAGTTTTCAGGCCCAACGAGTCGTCTACATTTTCTCCAATTCCCTGCTCCTCCTCTCTATGCTCTACTGATCTCTCACCCTTCTATTCTTTAGATATCTGTCCCATTCCAGAAGCCCCATGCCAGTATAATTACAGGTACGTACCCTTTTCTCTCTCTCTCTCTCTTTCAATTGGCCTATTTCAGGGTCAGATCAATTTGCATTGAAAATCCATCCAACTCTTTTATCTATCTTATCTTCATGAGTATCATAATCATCATTTGATTATTGTTTTAATTGTATGAATAATATACTAATCAGTGATACATATATATATATATATCACTACTTGTTATTGGTTAATTTGTTTGATATGGATGGATGGATGAATGTGATTGATCATGACTGACTGTGAGCAGTTATTACGACGGGAAAATGGCAGAGGGTTTCTTTGCTAACGAAACAGTAACGGTGTACCTATCGACTGGTAAGAAGATAAGGCTGAGTGAATTCCTGGTGGGATGCACACTGGCAACCCCAGGTAGAAATTTCACCGACGGCATTCATGGAATGCTGGCGTTGGGAGCCAGTCCCTACTCCTTCGCTGGTCAAGCCGTAGAAATCTTCGGAGGCAAGTTCTCATATTGCCTGGTTGATATTCTGAGCCCAAAGAACGTATCAAATTACATAGTGTTCGGCCACAATGTACATCCACCAAACATGCAGTTCACATCCCTCATCGTCAACAAGATAGCCCCGTTTTATGCAGTCAGAGTGATCGGAATCTCGGTTGGTGGTGAGCTATTAGGAATTCCGTTGAGTGTTTGGAATGAAGACAGGGAAGGAGGAACCATTATTGACTCCGGTACCAGCTTGATGCAACTGGCAGAACCCGCTTACAGACCTATCATGGACGCTTTCATTTCGTCGCCGGGATTGAAGGATTACACCAGGGTGGACGACGAGGATTTTGAGTTCTGCATCAGTGTTAAACCGGGAGAGTTGGACGAGGAACGAGTGCCTAAATTAGTTATCTATTTCGCCGATGGGGCTCGTCTTGTGCCGCCGGTGAGGAATTATCTCCACGAAGCGGCTCCCGAATTGATGTGTTTAGCCTTTCAGCCTGTTCCTTTTCCGGGTGTCTCCGTAATTGGGAATTTGATACAACAACATTATTTTTGGGAGTTTGATTTCATGAAGCGGAGATTGGGTTTTGCACCCTCCTCCTGCACTCAACATGGCCATTGATGAATAAATTAAAATTGTGATAGTGGTGGTGATGATGGTGGTGGTGGTGAGCTCTTTTAAGATTATAATTTTTGTTTTTAATTTTTCTTTTTTTCTTAATTTCTTTTTCTTTCATTAATTTTTCATTTCTACGGTTTCCATGTAAATGCATTGTCATCATCTCTATATCATTAATTAGCATCCTCCCTTCTTTCTTCTTAATAATTAATATTTATTGTAAAAACTAGTGATAATTAATGTTTATTAATTAATTACTTGAATTTTAGATATATCATAGTTAAGATAGAAATTGAAAGTTAATAAAACTAACAATATGATTAAAATTAGACTTAAATGCTTGTTGTAAATGTGCTCGTGCATTGCACATAGAAATTTTAAATTATAATAACATATTGTTATTATTATTATTATTATTAACTTTTTGCATTCCATTTTTATCATAAATAAAAATAATTTTTATTTTAACAATTATGTTTATTTAATATGATGAATATAACACATTAGAAATGTTCTCAAATGTTTTTGACAAAATTCTGCACTTTTTCATTTTTTGTATTCTATCTTTTTGAATATTTATTATTCAATTATGACATCATGAGTTTTATTATTATATATATATATATATCATCTACATTATATAAATAATTTCTACTTATCATACCTATTTTTATTTGACATAAATAATATATATTTTTTATATATTCTTTTGATTACTTGTACTTTTTATTTTTTAAAGATTTACTATTTAGATATCATATCATCGATTAATCCATTTGACCCAAATCACTAACCCACCACCCAAAAAGAAAAATAGTTTGATTTCTATGTTGACATTAGATTTTGTATTACATTTCCATTGTTGATAAAATTATTTCTTATGTATAATACTTATTTTTGTTCAATATAGTGAATGTATAATATTAGATATGTATGCAATATTTTATTTTTTATAAATATATAACATTAGATATGTGCCCAAATGTTTCTCTTTTTTTTTGTGATTCTTTGTATTTTTTATTTTTTAAATTTTTATTATTTGATTATGGCATCATTTCATTTCTAGGTTGATTTTAAATTTAGAATTCCATTTTCAACATATTTCATACTTATTTTGGTTTAGTATAATGAATATACAATATTAGAGATATGCCCAATTATTTTTATTTTTATTTTTATTTTTATTTTTATTATATATTTAATTTATTTTATTTTTTAATTATGATATTATTTATTAACCTATTTGACCGCATATAATAGAATTGCTTACCCACCACCGAGAGGAAACAAAATGGTTTTATTTTTAAATTCCTTTTTTTTGAAATATTTATTTTTATGCTATTAAGATTAATGTTATGGATTTAACTAGTAGAATTTAATGATGAGAAAATATATCTTAAATATAGAATTTAATGAGAGAATATACCTTAGATATGAGATTTAATGAGTGAAAATAGGAAAATGGTTTTAATTTTACATTCCATTTCCATCATTAATAAAATCATTTCTTATTTATCATACTTATTCTTGTTTAATATATCAAATAAATGATGTTAAAAATGTTCCCATTTTTTTCTTTCTATATTTTTTTGAATTTTATTATTTAATTGTGACAACATGGATTGTCCCATTTGACCCAAAATGGTTTAATTTATTATCACCACCTAGATGAAAACACTTTTTAAGGTATATTTTAAAAGTAAAAGTTTTTGTGTTATTGAAGTTATTAATTTATTATATATGGATTTAATTAATAGAATTTCATGATGAGAAGAAACAAAAATGCCCTGAATATATGATTCAACGAACGTAAATGCAAGTTAATACCTTAAATGTTGGATTTAATGAGAGAAAATTGAATGCATTGAATATCTTAAAATTATCTCTTTTCAAGTCATTTAATATCAATAACCCAATACCCTATTTTCCCTCTTTTTTTATAAATAAATTTAAATATGGAGGGGTAAATTTTGTTCTCAAAAAATTTTAGAAATATTATTGAGGCTATTCGTACTTTTTAAAGTAGTATAGATTTAGAACTAATTAAAATAATTTATTAAAAATACTTAAACATTGATTAAATAAATGAATCAGTCTTTCAAAGAAAACTATGATACAACTTCAATAGGTGATAAAATGAGAGAAAGTAAACTGAAATAGTTAATTTAGTCATGTACGAACTTGCACTTGTTGGACCCTTCGTTCCACCACATCATGGACCCTCCAATCAGAGAGTGCAATGCCATCAATGAGGCTTAATGGCATTTGCTTACAACTCTCCTCCTATCACCATCATCGTTTTCTTCTTCTTCTTTCATTCCTTTCCCTTGTCATTCTTTTCTTTATGTTCTCAAGTGAGAAAAAAATAATGACAACCAATGGTAGACGGCTTAAAGTTGTTTGAGTGCTAGTCACTAATAAGGGTGAGCAAATGGGTAGGTCCTAACTAGAACCGACCTCGAATTGGTCTGGAACCAACCCTACCCAATCTGTTACACAGTAGGGTCTTGTTCCAAATTCTTGGAACTGACCCCCACCCATGTCGATTCCAGGGTCTACGGGTTTACCTTACCTGAACCGGCCTTGGTTGACCTTGATAGAACAAACCTAGAAACCAAACTTGCCTTGAAATAAACCCCAAAATATTTTTAAGGATGTGATTATTTGAACCCAAGCACTTGTGGCTACAAAAGCCATTGTTTCACTTCACCATTGAGTTTCTTAAGTGATTTGATCATTTTTTTTTCATTTTAATGTGTAATATGTATAATAAATAATTTAAAAGGTAATATTTACAAAATTTCAATTATAGTGATAATTTTTTAACCATATATTAATAAATTATGATGACCTACACATTAAATTACTCAACTTAATCAATAAAAATAATAAAAGTTTTAAATTATATATTATCATAATTGAAAAATAAGTTTTTAAAGGACACGTTTCATTTTTTTTCTGAATGTGGAGAGTAAAGAAAGAACAAGTTCCATAGGTAGGCCCTAGAACTGACCTTCACAAGATAGGTTTTGATTCTAGAAACCTATAACCAACTCCTATAGGGTAGGTTATTCTAGGTTCTGCCATAGGACCAAACTGAACTGACCCATGCTCACCCTTAGTCAGTAAGCATTATTTCATCGGTAATCAAACTTTATCGCTACTATTAGACACGTAACATCTAGCTAACGTATCCATCCAGTTCATGATAACCCGGATCATGCCTATCCTTATCCATTCAATACTGAAGTGTTTTGTTAGGACTCAACTACTTGTATCTATATATGTAACTCAAACAATTCAATAAACCTGTCCATTATTTCTTTTCTTGCGTTGTCTTTTATGGTATCAGAACTATAGGTCACCATGGCTAGTAACACCTGCTCTACTTCGGCCTCCCCTATTTCAATCCTTCAAACCCAAGCCGGGCAGCTCCAAATTGGAAGCATGTTCACTACAAATCTTGGTCAGCTTGTCACTGTGAAGCTAGATCGATATAACTATATGCTTTGGAGATCACAAGTTTTGCCAGCATTAGATGGTTTAGATTTTATCGGATATGCAAATGGATCACTATCGTGTCAACCTCAAAATATTAAAGTGGATGGTCAAAAGATTCCCAACCCAGAGTACACCTAGTGGCAGAAACAAGACCAACTGTTACTCAATTGGATGCTATCCACACTCACTGAGAGTTTTCTCGGCCAAGTCATTGGCTGCACCACAACCAGAGCCATTCAGAGCACTCTAGAAAAGATAGTTTGCCTCCCAGTCCAGGGCCAGAGTTATACAACTTCTTGTAGAGTTGATGAACCTGAGGAAAGGCACCATGCCAATGAATGAATATTTACAAAAGGTCAAAAATATTTCGGATAGTCTCTCCATGGTTGGACAACCCATCACTAATCAAGACTTGGTGATTAAAAGCTTAATTGGTCTTGGATCAGATTATGAAGCATTCGTCACATCTGTAAGTACTCTAACTGATTCACTTACTTTTGATGTCATTCAAAGGATGCTTTATAATCATGCACTCAGAATGGAAGCCTTGAGGGATAGCATAGATCATATTGTATCAAGTATCCATGTTATTCAACGTGAACATCAACAAGGAGAGTCTAGATTCAATAACAACAAAAACAAAGGTCAAGATAATTGACCTAGACAAAATCAACAGACCACTAATGAAAATAAAAGGATGAATACTAATCCTGGACCATGTCAAATATGTAAAAAGAAAAACCACACTACGAAGAATTGTTATTTTAGATCAAACAACAAACTCAATCAATTTTGCCTCCACAGATAATGATGGGAGTTGGTATCCAGACTCTGGAGCCACAAACCACCTAACTGCAGATCTTGGTAACTTGAAACTTCACTCATCCTATAGTGGGACAGATCAGATTCGAATGACAATTGGAGTGGGTTTGAAAATTAAGAATATCGATTCTTCTTGTGTACAGTCTTTTTCATGACCTCTCATTCTTATAAACGTGTTGCATGTTGTAGAAATTACCAAAAATCTATTATCAATGCTCAATTTTCTACAGAAAATGATGTGCTTTCTAAATTTCATCCTCGTTTCTTTGTTGTGAAGGATCGATAAATGAAAAAGATCCTACTGGAAGGGTCGATTAGCAATGGACTCTATAAACAGTGGAATGATCCAGTTACAAGTGTAGAAAATCTTGCTCTCGTAGGAGAAATAACCTTAATAGATCTTTGGCATCAATGTTTTGGACATCCAACACCCAACATCGTTAGACAAGTAGTACTCAAGAATAAATTGGCAGTTAGCTCCAATAAATCATTAAGTTTTTGTTCCTCTTGTCCCATGGGTAAGAGTCACAAGTTACCCTTTTCAGCTAGTTCATCTACTATCACTGCACCATTACAATTGATATTTGCAAACATTTGGGGACCTTCCCCAGTTACCTCTCATGATGGTTTTAATTACTATATAAGCTTTGTTGATGCTTTTAGTAAGTACTTGTGGATTT